GGACTTGAGACTTGTGGTAAGACCAACCAGTAGGGCTCTCAAGTGAAGGCGGACGTCCAAACCGGGGAAAGATTTGGACAGACCGAGAAAGAAGGCTAGGCTTGGCCTTAACTACCGAAGGGGAGGCTTGAACACGGTAGTAGACCAAGCTCGTTGAAGCCACCGAGATGATGAGGCAAAAGCGAGAGGAGAACCCGGATAGGAGGCCGAGAGCGAGCAAACACAACAAGTCCGCCAATGCAGGCCCATACGGAGGCGAGACCACGGAGGCATTGGTCCGAAAGCCAACCAACCGGAAAGCTCGCGACCGGACCGATAAAGGGTGCAAGAAAAAATAAAGGGCTAACCGAACATAAAATCAAAGCTATCCCATATGCAGTAGGTGGGGGTTCGACTCATGAGAGTAGAAAACCATGAAGAAGAGAATCTAAAATTTCCAAAGCAAATTGTCAACCGAGCTTGATGAATCATCAAAGACTCACCTGTTACGTTCCTCCCAGATTACGTAGATTATGATACTTAGGGCAACCCACCTCATTCGCGCTTCAAGATTGTTGTGGCGGATGGAGAGGCATCGAAGGGCTCGATTGAGCGTAGTCGGACATTTTCTAATTCCGAGCCTCCGTTTAATTTTCAACCATAGTGAAGTTCGTCTAGTTACAAGAGAAAAAGAAATGACCATGGGATTCGGTAACTTGATGGCGGAATAGGCATGCTTCGTTGAAAAGGAGAAAGTGGAGACGGTCCTTAGTTTTTAAGGCACCTCGAGAAGCAAGCCATAGAATGAAGGAATGCCTCGGCAAGGACCGTGGTTCCCAAGTCACGCGACTCCGACTCACTATATTCCCTATTGGTCCGAGCTTAGAATACGCTATACAACGAAGCATCCCTCACCCAAATGCCACCGAGCTAGCTCTCTAATAGCTTCATCACCGCCATTGTATTTCCCAACAAACGAATCTTTCAAATCGATAATAGTTTTCCACAAGGGTAAAGCATTTCGATGGGCTTCCACATCCCAAACCCGACGATCTTGCAAGTAGTAATGGTGAATCCAGCGTATCCGGATGGAGTCCGCTTTTAACCGAATGTCCCAAAGACACCGAGCTATGAAACTTTGATTTCTCACTTTGATGTCAAAGAGGCCTAATCCGCCTTCTAATTATGGGAGGCAAAGGCCTTTCTAAGCAACCAATGCCGAGGAACTCCTCCGCACATCTCCGATCCATAAGAAGTTACGACACATACCGGTGAGATGGGTAATAGCCATAGCGAGGCATAGGAAAGACCGAGAGCCAAAATTGGATCTTTTCGTAGAGGACGGACTCGAGCAGGCTCCAACCTCCTCGCATAGGACAGGTGCTTGCCCATCCAGCTCCGAATTGTAGATTCTAGGTCGTGGAACAGAGGAGCAACCGACCGGCGAGTAAGCGATATGGGTTAAGAGGGACCCCCAAGTATTTAAAGGGGAAGGAGCCCTCATAGAACCCATTTTCATGGAGGATTGATTCTTTCAAGGTGTCACTCACCCCTCCCAAGAAAATCAAGGACTTAGCCACATTGATGGTAAGACCGCAGGTTCTACCGAAAAGAGAGAGATGACTAGACAGAATCCGGATAGAGGCTAAATCCCCATAGCAGAGCATCAACCCATCATCCGTAAATGCAAGGTGGGCGATGGCATGAAACCCACATTTCGGGTGAAAGTTGAAGTCGAGTTTCCAGTAGCTACTCGAAGCAAACGAGAGAAATATTCCATGCAAACCATAAAAAGATAAGCAGAGAGTGGGTCACCTTGCCCGACTCCCGCCACCCCTAGGAAGTACCCATACATGCCCCCGTTAACCAAAATGGAATAAGAAGTTGACTCCACACAAACTCTGATCCAATCAATAAATCTAATTAGGAAACCCAACTCGTAAGAGAAGCTAATGCAGAAAACCCCACTACACTAAGTCGAAGGCCTTATGGAAATCAATCTTCAATAGGCACCTAGGAGAGGCTCTTTTCCTCCCATACATACAAAGCAATTCCCGAACCAAGCGGATATTGTCGGCCATTTTCCGACCCCCAAGAAGGCATTCCGCATGGGGCTAACAAGGTCCTGAAGGACAAGGGAAAGCCTAGAGGAAAGTATCTTGGTTATCACCTTATAAACTACGTTGTAGCAGGAAATCGGCTCGAAGTCACTGGGACTAGAAGTGTTGGCTAATTTCGGGATTAAGGATATGACAGAGTGGCCGACCTATTTCAAGAGCTTCCTAGAAACAAAAAAATCCGTAACTATTGAACAAAAACCACCCCTAACAATATCCCAAGCCTCGCTTGAAGAAATAAGAAGAGTAACCATCTAGGCCCGGGGCTTTATCATTGTCAATACTGAATAATGTGTTCTTGATGGTGTCCGCCATGATCGAGGTAAGTAGAATGTCATGGCTGTCCATAGGTAACCAAGGCTCAATAACAACAATGTTCGGGTCGAGGGGGACGAGTAGTCGAGGAGGTACCCAAAAGGTTTTGGAAGTAAGAGACAAATTCGTAGCCCACTTCTTGAACGGAGGTGGTAAGCCGCCCATCGCTCTTTCAAAGAGCCGCGATGTGGTTGGCTTTATGCTTATGATTCATAAGGCTATGGAAGAAGCCGGTGCCTTTGTCACAATCCGAAGGAATTTACACTTCAATTTCGACCAAAGAACATTTTTTCGAGGCCTCGAGATGAACCGGATTGAGTCTAAGCCTTTTCTTAGCCTCACGAGCCCCACATTATCCCTATCATTCTAAAGCAAAATTTGGAGACCAACCAAGTCAACTTTAGCTCTAGCAATTCTTTAGGAGATGTGGTCGAAGCGAAGAGTATTCAACTGCTAAGAGGTTGCTTAAGGGACTTTAGCTTTCGACAAAGGATATACATGGGGTCGCCCCGATTCTAGCTTCCAACACTTGGCTACTATTTTAGAAAAATCAACATGGGTAGCCCACATGTTGAAGAATTTAAAGCTCCGATTTACAGGATGGACGTGGGATCCCAAGACAACCAAAACAGAGGCATGATCCGAAAACGCGCCCGGGAGTCAAAGTGAACATGAGCGAGGCAGCTGAGTGGAGGACCAAAGAGGGTTAGCTAAGAATCGATCAATTTTAGTCCAAACATCCACCCCATTCCAAGTAAAGTGGCTCCCCGTGTAGGCAAGGTTAGTTAACCCGAGGCCGAGCAACAAGTGCGAAAATCGGTAGTCTCATAGTTAGAGATAGGAGTGCCCTTATGCTTATCATCTTAAGAGAGAATCGAATTAAAGTCCCCCACTAGGAGCCAATGCCCATTTGGTCGCCATTGATGAAGATCCACCCACAACCCTCTTCTCACAATGATGGAGCGTAAGCCATAAACAAAAGGTGCATTAAAAGAGATTTGTTGTACAAGATCGGTGAGCCTAACATTAATGCCCCGAACAAACACATTCAACATTTCAACCAATCCATTCGTGGGATTCCAAAAAATAGCAATACGGGCAAAGCTCGCAACCAAAGCATTAGACATAAAGTTCCATTGTTTGAGCCGATGTCTATGCATACCGAAAAGCTTTGTTGAAGTGAGCTTTGTTTCCACGAAGGCACGGATATCTTCCTTTATCTTCATGAGACGAATCGCCTCATATTGCTTCAGCAGGATTATTAAGACCTCCGACGTTCTAGTTGGAAATGATCATGTATGGGCCGAAGAGGCTAAGCCCCTTCGATTCCCACTTCGTCCGACCGACCCCTACTGCGGCGACCGCTTTGGCGTAAGTTCGCCGACTATCGATTCCTCGTTGTCCGATCGAGGGAGCCAAAGGTGGAGGCCCAAGAGAGTCGGGAACATTAATACATTTGGTCGCCCGGTCTATGACAACCCCCGTTTTATTAGCCCCGGACCTCGCGCCGATTCCACTAGCCAAACCGAGTGCATGCATGGAAAGCCGCCGCTCTGCCCGGAGATTCATGCCTACCATCAACCCGATCCACTCGCCCTCGACCTCCTTTCCACATAGATCGGCGGACCCAAGAAGCATGACTACCGACCACCCTAGGCCTAACCATAGTAGGCGCAAAGACATTGGGAGAAACTTGATCTAATGCCGATTCAATCATCAACTCGTTTCCATTTGATAGAAGCCTTGCGTGAGTGTTTTCGGCTAGAGATTGTCTCCCATTCCCGAAAAACTTCAGCAACTTCGAGTAGCATAGGGTCGATGGACAATGGGGCTTCGACAAGACAAGCATTGGCGTAAGCACCCAACCTATAAAACACACTAGTCCCGGCCGTGCCGTCCGGTATTTCTCTCCCGTGGGTGGCATTCGACTCGAAGATGGAGCCGGCTAAACATTACACATAGATATGGAATGCCCAAGTTTACGACATGTTTTATAATGAGTTGGGAGAGTCTCATACACCACCGGTTGCTCGGAGTGTGGTACCATTTGGTAACAAGATGCCGACAATCTAGGGCAAAGCTTCCATAATATTCGGTTCCACTAGGACTCTAGCATAGGAAAGACGGTCGATGGAAGCGATCAATCGGTCACATTGGATTGGCTTACGAAACATACTAGCAATCTTTGACAAACACATAGAGACCAAGCATTTAAGCGACGGATTAGGAAACTTAATCCGGACCGGGACGATGGCCATCTCATCGTTGGAAAAATCAAAGTATTCGGACATTGGTCGTAAGATCAAAGCCCGACCATAAACCAAATACGATCCCCCATTGAGCACCGATACCTTATCATACTCGGATTTGAATTTGTAAATTAGCCAACCCGAGTCATGAATCGTTAAAGAGGCCTCACAATGCCAAGTATCCTTTATGATAGCATTCGAGTGCTCGAAACCTAGATTCTTGCCGCCTACATATCCCACAAGACAACATTTCCATAATTCACATTTGGCATCATCATTTAGCGAGATGGCATTGTTTCGATTCCGTGATATCCGAAAAATGAGACAATTTAGGACACAA